GACCAAAAAACAGAAGATTTTTCCAACATGTCACAACACTACGGTGTTATTCATGCTTGGTACACCATTCCTGTCAGTCTGCCCCATGACCTTTTGCCATGCTGCATTCAAATCACTTTTTAGAGTTACACTTCTGTCTGGAGTTCTAGACATCACACAGCCTGGTTCCCTATTGTGACAAGCAGCTTTGTCATATAAGCCCTTTCACATATGTTCCTATGGTTTTCCTGTCTATAGACCATTACTGATAACTAGCTAGTGTAAAATGAGATGAATTTTGGTTGGCATTCCTTAAAACACTCAAGTCTAACAGAATTCTGGCCTAAGGCTAGCTTTTATGCCCACTGCTTCTGGAAAACAAATTTCCCATTCACTACATGGTGGAGGATTATTTCATTAATGAATCTAATGATACTTTGTCTTTGGTCCTGACAATCTTTGTGATGGTGCTGTGCAATCTTTAATTAACTTTAAGCCTGCCAGGCACCACCAGGAAGTTTAAAATCTGCAACAAATGAAAGAGAAGCTTGAAGGCCTGTTGTGGCAAAATAACCTTTTCCAAGGTCAGGCAGTGATTCTTGGCGTGGGCCGAGACTGGATGCCAAGTCTCCTGACTGCTGAAGAAATGCTGCTAAAAAGCACATTCCTCTGCTAAAATGCTTGAAAGGTGCTAAGTGGGACTATCCAGGTGGGGAGTGCTAAGTGCTCAGTAGGGCTTGGGGGACCACAAGCATGCTCAGCTGCTCCGTGAGTGTGGTTGCTGTTCTGCTCAGTCACAATGCTTTTAATACAGTGTGTGAGTTTGTACGTGGCCATGTTAGCTTTACATGAACAAAGAGCATTTTTGTAACACGTAGGCCAGGGACAGGTATTTAATGCATAGATTAGAGATAAGGCACCCCATCAAGGCCTCCAGTAGAGAATACACACAAAGAGGAGCATGGAAAAGAAATAGATGCGGAAACCTTGTACACGCTCCATCGTGGATATGGCTTTGTCAAAAAGTGTGTGGATTCCTTCCGTCAGAAACCTTTTGGTTTCCATGGAATGCTGTGTTTTATCATCCCAGAGGTCACATTCTCCCGGACCCTCATTTTCTGCAGCACCTTCCCATAAGATGCTGCTTGTTAGAGTTCTGAGAACACTGTCCAGGCATCTATCCTGTTTTATTTATGTATTTTTTCACTACATGGAGTGTGGAGGAAGCTACCGATCCCAGCTGGTTGCTGATGTCAGTATTGTAAAAATAGGAGTTTGAAATGCTAAACAGCTGTTCTTTCTTTTCTCTTCCCAGAGATATGCCACCACAGGAATCATTGCTTTGAACTTAGCCCTCCACATGTGCCAAGAGGTCAACATTGCAGGCTTCGGTTACCCTGACAACCACGACAATACTACGCCAATACACTATTACAATACAGGTCGCTCCCGGGAAAAAGAGGTAGTAAGTGCATCCTCTTCGAACTAAGATGTTCTTTAAAGTGGAATGTAGCAGACAAAGCTAAGACTCATCTCTGAGAGCTCTGGTAGCTCTCTCTGGCATTACCCATGGTAATTCCTACTGGGACATGCCAGGAGAAAGAGTGCTTTGTTCCCAGAAACGAACCTTGAGCACAGATATGGGCTCATTCAGTGTGCTTTTTATCTGTCCTCATTTGGTGACATGGGTCCTGCCCAGCCCTATCTGTGGAAGCCCTTCTTAGGGCAGCAGAGGAAGCTGGGTCAGATGGGATCCAGAGCATTTTGGGGAGCATGAGGGGCGTTGTAAGAAATTATCTGTAACTCTGGCTCTCTTGTCTCTGCAGCTAATCCAGCACAACCTAACGGCTGAGAGGAACTGGCTGCTGAAAATGATCAAGCAGGGGGTGATTGCTGACATAGCTAACCCTTCCTTCCAGGCCCAGAACCACTGAGAAGCTGCTTGCTGTCCTCCTGCAGACACCGCTGGTGGTCCCAGCTGGGCTTTGCCCTTGTTCCAGGTTATTTTGAGCAGAAGCATCCTTTTCCATGTGGGGTGGGAAATGAATGTCTGAGATTCAGAGCACTTGTCCTTTCCACTGCTGGCCTCCAGCTTTCACCAGTGCCTTCCATGCTGGAGGATAAGGTGTGTCACACAACCCTTCTGCCTTGGGTAATCCCCTCCTGTTTTGGAGACTGCCATCCTTTACTCGCTGGTTATTTGTATAAAGCACCAAACTGGGATGCTAAGCTCGTCCCCAGCCCCTGGGTAAGGGAGAAAGGTGACAGTGCACTGTATGCCTTGAGATTTCAAACTCCTTCCTAAGCAGATTGGATTGAAAGAAAGTCAGATCCAGCAGTCTGGAAAAGGACTGGGCTGAACTCTCAGAGATTTCAGTGTCTTACTAATTGTTGGGAAATGTCAGGAAACACTAAGAAATATCTGCAGGAAACACTAAGAAAGTTGGACTTTTTTATTGTTCTGTTTGAGAATAAAAGTGCTTCTGATTTTGAGGAGTGTCTCTGGTTAGCACTGTCTTGTGGGAGGTGGATTTCTGGTGGGGACATGTGAGAATTACATCAGCATCGCCTCTGAGATCTTTTCATGGCTTCATGACCCCAGGTAATCCCCCTTTCTTCCTCTTCATGCTTTCCATAGCTCAGGATGTTTTTCCAGCCAGTTATGAGCATGGAGCCAGCCTGCCAGGTCTATTTGGTGTGCTGAAGGTCTTCCGCATTCAAGAAATCGCTTCAAACCTCCATTTTGACTGTGGCTGGCTCCTGTTCAAATTCCACCTCTGGCACCCTGTCTTTTGGGTCAGAAGCCAGCCCTCTGATCACAGGTCACAGCTTCCTTTAAGAATGCATCTAGGTTATATTTCCTCTTCTTTACTTCCCTCATTGCTATTTTCTTCTCAGCCTGCTGTCATTATGAGTCCACCTCAGTCGCTGCCCCACTAAAAGGCTGTCTCTAACTGGAAGAAGACCCTATGTTGTGATGTTAAAATGATAGCTGTGCTGGTACGACCCCTTCTTTGCAGACTTTTCAGCGAGGTGCTCATTGAGGTGAAGGATCTTTTTGAGTAACTCTGCAGACGTGTTTTAAGAGTGGGGTTGGCTTAACTTACAGCAGGCCGCATGTGTCTGATAGCAGCAGCATTTGCTGTGTGGGAACATTAGTACAGTACCCATATAACTGCTCACAATTTCCACAGGAGACAAAGCTTCCCTCCCATTTCCTTCCTCCCTCCCCTTTGCTGTGGCCAGGCTCTCAGGGCGCAGCCTGTGCTCTTCATGACACTCCTTTTCCTGGGTAACTTCTCGTCCAGTATTTTAGCCCTATCTCCTAAAGTATCTGTGTAACCCTTTGTTTTTCACAATCTGCAAAACATTAATGACCTCCATGTAGCTCCCATTGTTACTCACTTTTGGCCAGCCTGGCTTCTCCTCCATGGGAGCCGAAATGTTTTTGCTCTGATTGGTGCATACAATTCATGACCAAGAAATCTCCACCAAAACTCCCTGAAGCTGCCTTGCGCCAGGAGACTGGTGGAAAAACTGGATGCCCCAGCTGTTCAGCTCAGCTTGATAAAGAAGTCACTTGAAGAGTAAAAGGAGATGACCTAATAATCTCTTACATGCAAACAAAACTGAACTGAGAGAGGGAGGATAACTCTGTTTCAGTAAGTTTCCCTTTATCAACTAAACGCTGGCTTCAGGTTTTGCTCTATACATATACAGATCTTTGCTGTCTATATAACACATAATAACCGCACAGGCTCTGCTGGATTCCAAAAAAGGGTTTCCGTAAATGCATACAAATGTATGGATTTTACTTGACTAGTATTTTGGAAGTTATTGCTTTGTAAACAGTGAAACTGGGCTCTCAACTATGTAAATGGCTAATGCTCTGTGTTCCGCTCCTGGTAGGGTAAAATGACATAAAAATATTAATGTCCAACAGCTGATGTAAAAAGCATACTGTGAGGCAAGCCCAAGAGATGGTTTACATTTTCTCTCTGGGTAACATATACAAGAACTTTACCACGGCTTTCAGGAGCCGTCTCTGTACTTTTTGCAGCAGTTGTTGCAACATCTTCCTGTCATGTAGTGACAAGTCACAGTAGTGAGACCATAAATATGAGGCTCAAGAGTTTTACCATTGGTCACTGCCTGTGGCAATGCTCTCAGTGCTTGCAGCAAGCAGGTCCATTACACAACTTTTTGAATTCATGTTTGAGAACTGGCTGATGTGCTTTCCCTTAAAACAGGGTGCTGTAACATTTCTAAGTGACCACAATTCATTACGGATGCCTCTTGTTCCAACCTTTTCCAGAGTGGAGGAGTTATGAAGTAGGGACTTAGTGTTTAACCATGCTTCAGTGGTGGCCCTGAATCCCAAAAGTAACCTGTCTTGTTGTCTGGTTTGCAGTGGCATGAGTAGGAGTCCTGCCATGCAGGTCCATTGAAAGTCTGTGATTTGCAGTCCTGCAGGTCCTACACACATTTCTTGTTTGACAGTCTGAATGAATCCTTGCCCTGCAGCAGACTCATTATTAATATCAAGAGAACTGGGGGAAAGGAGGTGGAATAAGTAGGATAAAGCAAAGCCACACTAATACAAAACATATGTAAATTAGGCTACGAGATACCATAATAAGGAAGTAATAGGGGGGAAAGACAAGGAAAATGAGTCCTATTGTTGCTTGAGTAGCAAAAGCTAGCATCGATCTGAGCTGATAAATCCACCCTCCTCAGGGCTGCGAAAAGGCAGTAATACCCCTTCTGATCACAGTTCAATTCATGCCACAGCACTGTGAACATCCTTGCATCAATGGCAGCACTGCATCCCCAGCTCAGTGGACAGCTGAGGTGCAACAGTGATTAATCCTTGGCAGAAGGGCACAGCACTGCAGGGGGTCTTTGGTACCAGCCAGTCTCTCTCCAGGAGCGAAGGCAGATTCATTCTCACTCACTGTCTATCCATGAACACTTGGCAAGTAAGTTTGGATGCTTCCACCATCTGTGTGAAATCCTCCCAACCGTTTAGATTAAACATCGACTGCAGTAAAATGTAGGGCTCCAAACTGACCTGACATAGTCCATATGGAGTAGCTGCCACAGATAGTGACTATCTTGACACTGATTAATCACTTCTTCTAGTTGTGTATTTGTCCCTAGTTACCTGACACAGTTCTTCCCTAATAGATTTTGCATGGTTCTGGGGTATTCATGTGACCTTGGCTTTGGGGAATATCTCATCTGATGACACACATTGCCTACTCTGATGTAGACTGTTTTTGATCAAACTGACTTGGACATTAACTTTTGATTTTGTTTCTTTCCCCTGTGTACACCAATATCTGTCCTTTACTGCAATGAAAGACACTTTAGCTATGCCAGACTATGTGTTGTTTTGGGTGGTACTATATGGCTTTCACTTGCTCTGTGCCATATAGCATGTAGAGAGACTCTCTCTCCTTCCACCTCCATGTCCTTACCTGTCACTTACAATCACAGGCTTGACAAGCAATCTGCATTGCTGGCACTCCTTGCTTTGAAACTAGTGGTTTAATGACCTGTAACTAGAGTCAAACATTGCTTAAACAGGCAGTGGTGAAGCTGTCTAGTGATGAAGCCCCCCGCCCCAACTAATTGCAGAGTTTCTCTCTCAATCTGAACATGGTTCTGCTCTTCAGACACACAAAACCCTGAACTGAAGGCAATAGGTCTTTCAGGCTGATCAAGTGTGAAATTACTACACCTGTTTCATATGGGGAAGCAGCACAAGCAAATGTTATAGGCACCAAGATACTGTAGTAAGGACCCTTTCTGATGATATTAGTGCCTCGGCTCCCTTGCCAGCCTCGGTATGGATTAGGGCCATCTCTAATCAGTGTCTATCACGCCAGTCAGGGGATGCCACGCAGCTGCTGTATGAGGCGGTACCTAGCCGTTCCCAGGAAGCAATGTGTTTGTGGTACCCTTTGAAGCAAAAGGATCTCGAAGGCATCTTTGATTTTTTTTCATTTTTCCTTGTGATTTATACAAATTGTTTTTCCCAGCAGAACGGC